AAGAAGGATGGGAATGACAAAAATGGGATATATATTCTTTTGACAGTATCTCATGCAATATCTGCTCAGATGTGGCCGACAACTATTACTGTACATGGTCCTAGGAGTCTCAGTATTTGGCCACCAGCAAGACCAGCCTCCGCCCCCTGTGCTGGGTAACACCTGGGAGTTGTCACCATGTCACTCCGCAAGGACAACGTAAATTTGGATGATGTGACCAATGCCCGAGCTTTAGGCGTTCCAGTGCTCTGAGGGAGCTCTGTTACCCCGCGCTCTCCCCGGGATCGGCACAACTGGAAACCAGCAACTCCAGCCAGGGATCGGGGCTCCCTTCGCAGTCCCTCCCTCCATCCCTCTGCACTGGCACGGAGCCCTTGGGACGCAGCATCCCACTGCTTCCCGCAGCATCCCACTGCTTCCCACTGCTCCCCAGAGCTCCGCTCCCAGCAAAGAAAAGCACAGTTTGCTCCTATTTGTTAAAAAGGAAGATGGCAAGAAAAGGCAACCCTTGAACACATCCCTCCAACCTGGGATTCTGAGCTTTTAACATCCCTTCAGGTCTGGGACTCTTCCAACAGAGCAGAGCAGGCTGGGGGCTGAGGGATGGTAACTCTACGACCAATTACAAAGTAATTAAAAGACCCACCGTCGGCTCCACAGAGAAAGCTTTGCATATGAACTTTAATTATTTTACCACAGTCTTGCCAGAAAAACACAAAAGAGGATCTCAGGCAGCTCGGAGGATGCATATGGCTTGTGTAGGTGGAGAAAGCTAAGAGACTGTTACTTTGGGTAGGAAGTGGATTTTCTCTCTCCTATAATCTTGTTAAATTACCCTGTTTTTAAATCAATGATTTATATCTCTCTCTTCAAATCCAGAGGGGGGGGGGGAAAAAAAAACAACAAAAAAACCCCAAGCCTCTCTCTAAACAGCAAGTGTGTGACAAGCAATACATTTTCACTTTCATTTATCCTCACATTGCAAAAGTTCACTCAGCAAACCAAAAGTGTTAAAGGAAAATGCTGGGGAAGGCTGGTTAAAAAGAAAACCTTGGCTGAAATGAGATGGAAAACAGATTTCCCGGGTTAGGTAAGTATCAGAAAATAATACATAATGTTAGACATCTGAAAAAAAAGGAAGTAGGAAAATATTTAGAAATTTGCATAACCATTTGCAGCCTAAGAAAAGCACAGACAAACAGTTCCATTCCGAGAGGACATCTCAAGCAGGCGGCCGTGCCGGGAGGGGCTGCACCCCCCGATCTGCCCCCCGCACAGCACGGCCTGTCTGGCAGGCGCCTCAGGATTCCCACACGGGTCTGCGATGGCGATGCCTGCCCTTGCGTTCCAGGGAGTCTCCCCTCCCTTTGACACCGGTTTTGCATTTGTGTAGGTCTAGCGGCTTCCGTGGGGGATCATCTCTTAGCAACGCTCATAAAAATAAAATAAAATAAAGCTCCGCCCAGACCTGAGACAGAGGCCACGCTGCAGCCCACCTGCAACGGGGAGGGCACGCGTGGGAATTTACACTGACAGCTGCGTATTTTCAGACAGGGAAAAGGAAAAATAACCCCAAACCATCTAAAAATCTCTACTTGATGGAGGTATATACACGCTTCTAGCAAACTGCAAGGAAATACCAGGAACCCCAGCGCTGCTCTGGGCACAGCTGGGTGAGGACACCCCAAGGAAACCCAGGGACAGGACGGGGTTGCCCGCTCGGGTGCGTTTCCCCCCAGGCTGGTGTGTGGCCCCATGGCAGCACTGACACGGGGGCCAGCACACCCCACACCCACCACGGCGTCGGGAAGTGGCGCTGGGAGGAATTTCCAAGCAAAGAGCAACGCCCGTGGGTGGAAACCCGAAGGTTTGGTGGCAAGCCGTGCGTGGTGGCACAAACCAGGCTGCTCCTGCCAGCCCAGGGAGTGCAGGCTACCCCTGGAAGGAGTCAAACCTAATAAAGCTCAGCAGGCCCTGATGGTACCCTGCAGCACTTCACTGGCCCATCAGCGGCTTCCACCCTTGGCCGCTTCGGCCAGCAGCTGGGCTAGTGTCCCGGCGAGCAAAGGCTGCAGTGCCAACGCGATGCCAGGCGTCACGGCCGTGAGCTGGAACGGTACAAACTGGGGTAAACACGTGCACATCCCGGCTCCCACCCCTGCACCGGCACTCCAGGCAATGCTGAGGTGTAGAAAAGCAGGATTTGGTGAAAGCATCGCTGCAGCAGCATTGGGGCGAGCAGTGAGTGGGGCATGAGGCGGCGTGGCCGTGCCCCGCTGTGCCGTGCCGTGGCCGTGCTGTTTGCTACAATACAGGAGAATTTGTCCTCAGGGGTGCAGGCAAGTGCTGGCAGCGACCTCAGCCCACGCTGCCCAGGAGCGGCCCCGAACGTCAAAGCCTCTTGCCCACAGCTGAGTCCTTCTCCTCTCCCACTCCACCCAAAGCGTCCCAGACCCGCTAAGCTCAGCGTGTCCAAAACTGGAAGAAAGTCAGAATGATTTAAGAGGTGCCGAGACTGGCACTTTGGCAACAGTTTGTCTTTGCTGGGCTCCAAGGACAAAGTCTTGTTTTGTTTGCTCGTACAGAAGCTCCATCTTCCCCTCGCAGGCTGCGACTTGCGCAGCAAGCCCTGCGGCGGGGTACAGTCCTGCTCCGGGCTGAGGGGATGGGACCCCGGAGCTGAGTGCGGCACGGCCGTGTGATGTGCACTGCTCCACCTGCGCTGCTCCCGCTTTTTAAGCTCAGAGAAGCACGAAAACTCCACACCGCAGAGCCAAGGAGTTCCCTTAGGGACTGTGTCCTTCCCTGCAGAGGGGACGCACGGCACGTTTTGGATGTTGTCCCCCTGCCTCTTCAAAGCGGGGTTCAAATGAATCTGAAGGGTCTGAACCTCGTTTGTAGGCTGCTGGCGAGTCTCCCCCTCACTCCGACAGACACTACAGAGCAGTTCCCAACCGCTTTCTCCCCAGTGAACATCTCATCTACCTTTCAACTTGTGAAGGCCCCACTGCGCTGCCACCGAGCACCAAGTCCTCGTTTCTGTCCCAAGAGCAAACAGCTCCATCCGACAACCCAAATGCCTCTGTCCTATGACCAAAACAGCTCCATGCTACGACCCAAATGCTTCCATCCTACGACCCAACTGGCTCCGTCCTACGACCCAAATGCCTCTGGTCCTACGACCCAACCAGCTCCATCCTACGACCCAACCAGCTCCATCCTACGACCTAAACGCCCGGCGCGACGTTCTGCCGGCTGCGACAGCAGAGACGCCGCGTGTTGGGGAGCCGGGAGGAAGCCCTGCCACCACCGACAGACGTCTTTAGCTCTGCTCACTCACTGCTTTTCCCCCCAGCAGGGAAAACCCATCCCAGCACCACGAGCCCTTCTCCCAGCAGCCCACGATACTGTTGGAGGACCCGTGGCTGAGCACGACGTGGGGGAACGGAGAAGAGCCCCTTTCTGTGTCCGGACTCTGAGTGAGGTGGATAGAAATCACCAGGCTCCCGGTTCCCGTAACCTCCTAAACACTGTCACATCCTTTAACGTGCGTGCTATTATGGGATGCTGAGAGAGAAGCCATTGGGTCAGTGAGCACGTGAGGCTCCTTCCCCCACGCCGCCCACCAGGCAGGGCCGGGACGGTCCCACCGTGCCCCAGCCCAGGCACGGCACAAGACGTGACTCTGAGGTCTGTCCCCGCGGCTGACAGAGTATTTGGAAAGGAAATCCTCCCCCGCGGCCTCGACCACTGCGAGGGAAATAAAGCCATCTGTTCATTGAGACATGCCCGTCTCAAACCAATTAATATAAAGAGCTTACATTAAAGGATCTCCCTTAGATGCAAATCCGCTCTTGTAAACAAACCTTACAGGTCTCAGCCCCAGTCTCTAAGGCAAGTTCCAATCTGATTAGTTACTCCACATGCCTTAAATTCCCCCTTATGGTTACCAACGAATAAAACTGTTAATTCTAACTTTTTGCTGAGATACATTAAACACTTACCGCATTTCACCTCCATGTGCCCTTTTCGGTGATATTTAATGAAACCGGGACCTCTTGGGTGAAAGACAAGTAATTTAACTTATTTCTTTGCCCTAGTTGTTCTCCAGACCACCACCCACGCACCACAGTTCGAGACCTCCACAACAGTACGGCACGCACTGAATTTTATTTCCCATACATGCACCACTGCCGACTATTTTTGGATGACTGCCTAAACCAGAGAGCACAGCGCAAGGTGCATAGTTCAGTACATTAAAAAAAACGGGAGAATGAATTAATGAGAAGAGTGTGGAGCAACAGTTTTCTGACTTACTCTGAGCAGCAGCCCTGGAAAGCATCTGTGGGAAAAGTGCTTTGTTTAGGTGAGGTTACCTGGGCAGGACGAGGACTGAGTATTTCTGCAGGAACAGCACACACGTGTTGGCTCTCCGAGCTCTGGAAAAGCAGTTGGAGGAAGAAACCCCATCACCCCTATGGAGGAGATGCATTCGCTGGCTGATGGTTAAACCTGGTTAGCAACAAAACAGATCCACAAGCTGCTCCTCCGCAGCTCAAGGAACCCAGAGGAAACTCTCCATGACTCCTTCGAGCGTGAGCCTTCCATCCCTCCACCAAGAGCCCCTTTGTTTTCTCAGATAATTTGTCTTCTCGGTTTTCTACTTCAATTTAAATACACAAACCTGAAAGCTCCCCAAATCGCAGCACAGCCTGGCAAAGATGTTAAGCAATGTACATCCCTGCCCATTTTAGCTCCAGCCCTGGGCCTCTCTGCTCCCCACAGCAGTGACGTGCTCCCACGCCACCTCAGTGGGCACTTGCCCATCAATAAAGGGGGTCAAAACCAGCCTGATTTCTTCCCCTTGCCTCGCACATCACTTTTTTCTACACTGTTTAAAAACAGACACAGAGAAGCAGGAAAACGATCAAACTGTGAGAGTTAACTGAATATTAAGAAGTGTATGTGACATTTATTTGGGTTTCTTCCCTGTCTTTATAAGCAAAGCAGAATTCTTAGGTGGTACCTGCGGCGTTCACACGGAGGCGTGTGCTTTGCTTCTCTTTTCTTGCTTACAGTCAGCCTTTGCTCAGGAGGAAAAGTCCCTTTCCAGTAAACACAAATCTCCCAAACATGGACTAAATACTGTCTTCTATATTGCAGGGCCAAATTAAGAGATGCATTTCTAGAAGAAAAAGGAAAAAAGCTTTTCCTTAAAGGTGAGCCCAGTTCCCTCATAGGCTGCGATGGCAATTCAACTCCCTGTCCAGGAGCTGCAGTTTGTCAGAGGCCCTGGGAGTGCTGGCAAAAGAAGAAATCATCTCAAGCCTGTTGAAAGTAGACACACATATGGTCATCTCTGGCTCACTGCTGTCCTTCCCCAAAAGTGGAACAGTTATTCTGTCAGCCCCAGGACTTCCCAGCCAGTACAGAGCAAGTATCTCCCCATCGCCCTAGGGGCAATAAAAGAGGAAGTTCTAGTCTTACATGAAATTCATCACAAAAAAGTGAAATTGTGGGAAACCAGTGCAAGTGAACGAGCCGTCTGGCAAAAAGAAAGAGCCAGTGCTGGGAACACTTGTGATTTTGGCATTGAAAGTGTTACAGAAAACATGCCATAAAGTTCCTCGGAGGCTTTAATTTCCCTCCCCCCAATCTTCCTTTGATTCCGATCCGCTCCTTCCCTCGTGTCCTTTGAACTTTTAAAAAGGCACTTTGAAGACATGTCATAAAGCACTGGTTTTATTCAGGATCTCCTCTTTGATGCCCCTGCTGCTGTGTGTGAAGCGCAGCCTCGCAGGATGTGGGAGCCGGAGGAGCCGAAAGCTGAGACGGAAAGGAAAGGACAGAAAAGTAAAAGCGTGGACGTGGTGTTTGTCAATAACTCGCTGGGCCGCGCAGGCGGGCGCAGGCAGCAGCCCCGGCTCTTGCCAAATGTGTCGACTTCTGGGCAATACAGACCCCAAGGGGGGAAGCGGTGGGGAGGAAGAAGAGGGGCAGCTGGCTGGGAAGTCCTTCATCCCAAAGGTCATCCCCATCTCCCACGTGCTCCCAAAACCTGAGATTTAGGGATAAAATGCCAGAACAGGCAGCCTGCCCTGGGGCAGAAGAAGGGATAAGCAGTCCATGACCAGGTCCCTGCTCCTGACTATCTGCCTCCGACCTGGGGGGTTTAATTTGGCCGCTCTGCATCCAAGTTGGGTTGGTCAAAGGCAGCTGCTTGGCCCAAACCAGTCCTATCACAAGAACTGGCCTTTAGCATATGACACAATTATTCTAAAGAGGACACGTGGCTATTTTGAAGTAGTTGCTTGATGCAAGATTTACTGTATTAACTCTATCCACTGGTTCTTCTATTTCAAATCCACGTTGCTTGCATTTAAGCAAATCCTGGTGCCCTCTTTCATCATTTTATTTTGAACCTCAGGAGAGGGAGACGTTCTTAAATTCCCAAAAACTAGAATCCTATGGTGTGGGCAAAATCTTAATTTAAGTTTTAGAAAGGTGTCTAACCACAATGGTTAGGGCGGAACAACCGGAAATAAACAAGCCTAAAAAACCCAAGAACTAATTAGAAAATAATAACGAGGAACTAATGCAAATAAATAGAAACCTATTGCAGATTTAAGTATTATGAACTCTAACCCAGCGCTCTGATACGGAGATATGTCCCAACTCACCGTATTTGAGCATTTTGAAATGCCCCCAGGAGCTGAGCCCCGAGGGTCGCTGCGGTTTTTCCTTACGGAAAACCGAGTCTCCAGCAGCCAGGCAGGGCAGGGACGGGCTGGCTCTTCTCGTGAAAACCCCACTCCAACGTGCAAGGAAGAGACTTTTTCTTCCGAAGAGGGATGGCTCAAAGCTGATGCTATCTGCCACGATAGACAGCGTCTGTGCCGCGTGCTTTGGGACTGCCACAGCATGTTACCGGATCTGCCTGTCAGAGAAAGGCAGAAAGACCAAAGAAAGGATTACATGCAGGCGTATAATTCTGCATTTACAGCTACTTAAATATTGAATCAGTGCTACAGGATTATATACATTTGATATTTCCTGCGTCAAGCCGACTGTGTAATTCATCGCGATGGAAGTTACAAGGAGGGTGTTTTCCTAAAAAAAAATTAAAAGTGGGGGGGGGAACCCCACCTTAAACCCCACCTTCAACTAACTCTGCCAGCAAGCAGGTTTTATTTCACCAAATCACGTTCCCTTTATTTCTGCCAGCGTCAGGCAGTCTCCCTTCGTGACTTAGAAGCCAGAGTCACAGTGGCAGCACCCACCGTCGCTGGGCCACCGCTGCCAATCTCCGTGAGCCCATCCCGGGAGCGCGGGGCTGCTCCTCTGTGCCACCTGGGACAGTGCAGGAAAGCCGAGCGAGCCCAGCCACGCCGGCGCATCCCTGCCCGCGTCCCGCCAGAGGCAGCTCCTCTCCCGGGGCTGACTCACACTCCAGCGGGACGCAACATTTAAATAGGAGACCACGGCCCTTGCCACGGCAGACAAAAAGGCCTGGCAGGTGCAGGAGGTGGCAACAGGGCAGCGGCTCGATAAACGGGAGGAAAAGCACGGAAGTGGGAGAGGTTGAAAGTTGGTTTGCAACCCCTGCCAAAGATAGGGAGGATGGAGCTGTCGCAGGAGCCCTCCTGCCTGGCTGATTCCTCAAGGACAGGGAAGGCCCCGTCGTCTCCAAACACCAGTGGATGCACAAAGGTTTCTGCCCCACATCTCGTGCCGCTGGGGACAGCAGAGCGGAGCCAGCCCAGCCCCTGTGTCCCTGCCACCGGGCTGCCCCAACCCTGCTCCCAGCACCGCGCTTGTCCGGGCAGCGATTTCAGCCAACGCCATGGCAACAGCATCACCAACTCTGGGCAGTTACAACACCGAACGCTCCCAGCTTTCTAGCCAAAAAACCTCAATTGCCAGTGCTCTCCTGCTTGCTGGACTAGATAAAGCACTACAGGCACACGCAGCATCGCGTGACGATGCAGGGAGCTGTCTGTCCGCACCGGCACTCTCTACCCATATGAGAGACCATCCCACACTCCCGATCACCACAACCTTACATCTCAGTGTGAGAAACGGGATGGGGAAACAAGGAATAAGGAGGCAAGGAGGAGTTGAAGAGACATGTTATCACCTTGATTTATCCAACGTTTCATAGCAGAACTGGAAAGTTTCCGAGCAGAACTAATCTTAAGGAAAGGGTCGTCACTCACGACCCAGATTTGTTTGGTTCTGTGCCACGAACGGTCGTAGGGGCGAGTTGTCAGGTGCTGCTCCCACAGAAATCTAACGCTACACGTAAGCTAACAATCACTTGTGGGCAAAACAGTATTAAATAACCAAAAAAAGAGTATTCAATAATCCTGCGCGCACACACCACCCCTTCACCAAGAGCAGACCGTCGGCTTCCAAGCGCATCCCGCAGGAAGACGACGAGGCTGCCGGCAGCAGGAGGAAGCGGGTGCTGAGCTCCCCACCAGCACCAGCTCTTCAGACCCAGCAGAAGTGCGTGGCTCAGGGCCTTTCCACACCGAAATACCTTCCCCTCACACTAAAAAGCTCAGAGCTGCAGCCCAGGCTTAGGCGGGGTGACTCTTTTTTCCCCCCCTGGGAGTTTCTCTCCGAATTAGAATCGGACATTTCTGCAGCAAAGCTGGTTTTCGCAGCGCAGCCCTCCGTGGCACGGTGCCACCGGTCGGAGCCTCTCAACTTTATTTAACCTTTGTGTAGGGAATTGCATTAACTCATCGCAAGAGAACCTCTCGGCAAGGGAGAAACAGATGTTCAGGCATTAGATAAAGCTACAGGCAAGTCCACGGTGTTTATCAGCAGGGATGTGGGGTTGGTTTTGGTTTTGTTATTTTTAAGGGCTGAGCAGCGGTAGGAGTTATTCGGAAACAAGTGAAAATTATCCTGAAAACTGCTTGAGGGGCTTTTGAAAGAATGTTTCTCTTCAGTTGCTCCTTTTACCTGCAATACCAATTTTTTTTTTTTTTAAACTTACAGCCAAGTATCTGCTCCTGCAACTGAATGCAGATGCAGCTGGAACAGGATATTTTAATTTGCTTCCAACCTGGGAATTCTGCACTTTAAACTCGAGATAAGGAGAAAACTTTGTTCTAAAGACACATGTCCCCTAACAAAAGACAAAAATCCTTCCAGAGAGGCTTTCAGTGCTCCTGAGAAAGCAGAACTGCAGAAAACAGCAAATTCTAAAGAGCCATTACGATTCTAGCATGCATTTATTACATTATCCCCACTTTGTGCGCTCCCTCCCTGCTTGGTCTTTAACAGAACCGCTAAAATATCCACGTAAAAAGTGTTTCTTGTGATTTTTGTCTGACTCAGCAGAACCAACAGGTGCCTGACAAGAGCTCAAACTCTCTGCTCTATGACTTAAGGAAAAGCAGGTCTCTGGAGGCAGAATCTGGCCATCGCTTCTTCATCCATGTGCGTAAGCAGACACAGGCACCCTTGCACCCAGGTGAAAACCTGCATTTGAGCTTTTCAAAGTGCTTCGTGGGTAACCATTGATTTCACTACAGGCCAGCTTGCGCTGCTCAAAGATGTGCTTTTCAGCCAACTTACTTAAACCCTGAGTAAACCACTGCAAAGCTGCTTGCGCTTATCTCAATAACCGGCCAACTTTTTATGCAGATAACAGATGAAATACTGCATCAGACTGCCCTAAGTCCAGCCACTGACAGGGGAGTTCTGGTGAATCCCCACGCAGCCTTTTAGAAGTTACTGTGCCAACCAACTTTCAATCCACAGAGAGAAATAACTTGTCCAAAGTCGTATAGACACACAGCTCTACAGATCTCAGAAGTCTTGGATAAGGGGATCGTTATTGTGACTCAGTGACACAGTTAAGCTTCAAGTTAAGTATATATATATATGTTTATACACACAGACACTCAATGGAGAACGAGATTCGGGGGTGACAGCCCCTCTACACCCAGGACTGTGCTCCTGAAGGGTTCAGCAGGAAGGCCAGGCCCGTTGTGGTGCCATGAGTTATCAACGCCCAAGCAAAGCAACAGCTCCGCTGACCAGAAGATCCTACAGAGGGTGAGCGAGATCTGGCGAAGCTCCTCTTGGTGGAACAGAGTTCTCCTGGGGAGCACCAGGGCAGCCCGGCTCCTCCTACCTTCATGCAAGCAGGCTTGAGGAAAGCAACCAAGGAGAAAAATTTTAGGTGGTAAATGAAAACCAAGTATTTTTTTTTTTTTTTTTTTTTTTTTTAAGACGTGTTCAAACATCTACAGCTGCAAACATGAATGCTGGCACTACAGAGAAACCCAGTGCCCAGCCTGCCTGCATCCTACCTACCCAAACATCAGACAAAGCTCAAGCCCTGAGGTTTTTGTCCTCCTGAAGCCCTGCTCTCCCCCTCACGCAGGGGAGCTGCCCCAGGGCTTCCCAAGGACCTTCACCAAGAGGAGGGCAAGGGAGGAGAGAGATCAGCAGCCACCCTGCCACCGCCAAGCCCACTCTTCGGCAAACTAGGTCAAGTTCAAACGCTTTGCTCTCAGCTGAAGGTCACTACTGTCTCCCCAGCCTGCACTGGGCAAGCTAAAATACATTCACATTGAGAAGATGCGGGGAGGTTTTGGAGCTGGAAGTGGTTAAGGGAAAAACCAGGCTGTTAAAGAGAGCATGTGCATGAGCATGCATCTAAAATGGTGAATGCAGAGGGAGGAAAGAATTTAAAAAACAAATCATCAGACATTTCCCTCCAAGGGCAAGAGTGCTAGCTCTGCCTTCCCCACTCTTGGTCAAGCGCTGGTTAGTGTTCCTGGTACAAACTACAGCACTGACCAGAGGTAAAGGTCTTGGATAACATTTGCAGAGCACTTTGACATGGAAAGTCCCAATTCCCCTTTACAGAGGCAAAGTCTGACAAACGCACAATGGAAATAGGCTTCCGACAGACAAAAAAGTGACTCCCTGGCGCACACACACAAGCCCACGCAAACTTTCCAGCCCGCCCTCCAAGTGTGAGCACTGGTGTTTCCATTAAGTGCCTGAAAGCTCAGAAAGCATCCGGCAAAAAAGTAAACTCATGATTAGACCAAGCGCAACGTTTTGCTTTAATTTCTGCAGAATTATTACATGCAGCTTTGCAATAGGAGCAGAGATTACCCGGCTAAATCTAAGAGGGTCTCTTCTGACTGCCATACAGATAGGAATGAAAATTTAGCCGTCTGAGAGTATTCGTCTGAAATTATTACTGGGAAGATCCATCAGAGACTTCGTACAGGGGTGGGTTGGAAACAGCCCTAGATCTGGAGCCACGCTCAACTTTGGGAAAGCCCAAATCTGGACTAGGCTGCCATCCCTGCCCCTGTCTCCCCGGCATGAGCCCACCACCAAGGTGGGGTCCTGGGAGCCTCGGGAAGGGGACACGTCTTGACATGGAGGGTGCATCACGGTCGTCATTCACGTGTTGTCCAGAGCAGGTCTTCTGTCCCGATGGCACGGCTGGGAAAGCTGTAGCACTGCCCGCACAGGAAAGTTATGTTAGAAGACTAATTAATGTATTTTGGCTGTCTTTTAATGAAACTCGGCAGCTGGAAGCAGGCGCGGAGCCAGCGCCACGTGACCTCTCAGTTCTCCTTTGGACACGTTTCAGGAATCTCTTTGCTGAAGTATCCAGTTGTCCTGCATGACATTTATCCCCCCCCCCAAACTGAACTAATCAATGTCTGGCTGCTAGTTATTGTGGAGGGTGGGGGAGAAACGCGCACGGACAAGCTGTTGTACATCAACCGCTGTATTATAAATATGCTGGCGATACAGCTCGACACGGTGTTTTACTCCACCATTTATCTTCACGCAAGCAGAAAGGCTGGAAGCGGATGAGCGTCTGCTGCGAAGAGCAGTTTGAAGGGAGGTTATTGCATTCTTGACTTAAGCCCATTTTTCTGGTTTCCATGCAAACGTCAATGAATTTAAAAAGGGAGCATTCAGCGCGGACCTTCGGATTCAGACAAAATACAGCATCTCTCTATATGGGGATTATACTCTTGCTTGGCAGAGCGATGAACCCAATGGATTTCTTCTTCCCCTCACAGTTACAGCCCCGACTGTCTCAAAGCACACACACCCCACACCCCCCCGTTACCTCCACCGGTTACCGTGGCCGTTCTCTCAAGCACTGGGCAGAAACGCACGCTCCAAGCGCACAGGAATATATATGCTTGCACCTCATACATGTACATACACACACACACAGGTGTGTGTCCAGGACCAAAGACAACAGGAATGTAAATATGTTTTACGCCTCATTATGGAAAGTACTTTGGCAGAAGGTGGCCAGGGGCACAAAGAGCTACTATTGAGATTCCTCAAGCCATGGCCTCCATTCAGTACACAATCAACAATATTTAGACAGTATGGGCTAGTTCCTTCCTTCTCAAGGTGACTTCCTCCTCCTGGCAGCCCTGGGGCAGGCTATAAAATGACCTTATGTTTAAGGACAGTCTCAAATAAAATAAGCAGTCAAAGGAAAAACACGCCTGCTCGCCCCCCCCGCGTCCCCGCCGTTGTTTCACGGTTCTCTTCTTTGTCTTCAGGGTATGGGCAGCTTCTCTGGTTGAACGGAGCTGAAAAGCTCCCGTAGCAGATGCCCACAGGCTGCCCGCAGGCAGGCGGGGTGTGCCGGGCCACCCCGCTAAGGGACACGCACCACCGGCTGCCCGACACAGGCTGGCGGGCGGGCACCGTGTGGCGGGAAGAAAGGGAAGAAAAAAAAAAAAAAAAAGATGGCATGAAAATGAAGACTTACTTATTAATCCCAAAGGAATTTTGGTTTGGGTTCTGCCTCTCTCCCTCCCATTTGCAGCCTTCCCCAAGCACAGGCTCTCCGACGAGATGCCCAAACGTTCCCTTGCCTTTCCGCCGGGCAGCTCTGCGAGCAATCCCTTCCTCGCCGTGCGGCGCCCCATTCAATCTGCTGCCCGTAACACAGCTCCAGACCACAAGGCACGCTGGCTTCTGAAAGTCTGGCTCTAAAACCAAATAAAAAGCTTTTCATTGACACTCAAATGTAGGTGCAGCAAGTCAAAAGCCTTATTTTTGTGTTTTACGGTGCTCCCACCTGAATAAATTCATTTTAAGTGCCACTTTTCCATTTGCGGATTATGAAATGTTGGGAGGTCTGGATGCCATAGCCAGGTACCAAGCAGCAATATATTACCCAGTGCAGGAGCCCGTCGGCGCTGCTCTGACCCGCGGCCGTCGCCCCTGCACAGCCCCGACCCGCGCAGCCCCCAGCGCCGCCGCGGACAGACAGATGGACAGACAGCAGCACGTCCCCTGCTCACGGGAGGGACAGCCAGCAGCCGGGTAAGCTGTAAAGCAGCGGTGGGACTTGAATGTGACACGGCCCGGTGGAAAAAAAATTAGTAATATAAAATTTTTCCTAATCCACCCACCTTCCTGCTCCCCTTCGGAGCAGAACAGCTCCATTATACCGCAGGGTTGGCTGAGCCAGGACCTGAGCGGGGAAAGGAGGGCTTCCACCAGCCCTCAGAACAAACACACACACTCACTCCGGTCCGACTGGGTCTCTCGCAACTACCCAGTTTAGATCCAGCTGTGATTCTGCCCGCTTACAGCTATAACGCTCAGCATCGCCTCAAATTACGCGTGTGTCTGTGGGTGTAGGTGCAATCGCAGGCAGGAGATGCAGGCACACTCACACCTTAAAATCTGGAGAAACAAAGTGGCGTGGGATTGTTGCCTCTGCCTGGATTTAATTTTTCAGACATTTTTAATCACATGGAATGATAGCTCAGGTGTGTCAGAGCATCACTGGCTATCCAGAGGACAAAGATGCTCTGCGTGCAGAGATCCGTCCGCAGTGGGAACGTGCATCATCCTATCAAACACAAAATACCAGCAAGCTCAGCATCTTCCATACAGGAGGATTTCCCAGGTTTAAAATCCAGATCCCAAACAACTCCAAAAACAAGAGCTACTATATAAGCCCACCCCTTCCCATTCAGCACACGGAAGGTTTGCCACAGCCCTTGGTAGCTCTCTAGCAAAAACCCAGAAGGTTTAAGTTTATTCCGCTCGTGCAAGGAAGCTTCTCTGACAAATCAAACGTGCGTCTGGCTGGGAAAGCTGCAGCACACGGTTCCTCGCTCCTCGCACACACCAACCTTTCACAGTAATGCAGGGACAGAAGCACTAGGTGGCAAAAAAAGCCAACAGGTCCTTATTAGTTACACTCTGGAAACGAGCATTAACATATCTATAAAATTTCAGGTAGTTTAACAACCACCACAGCGGGAATCAGCCCACATACCCATCAGCGTGTTTAATTGTACCCAACGAAGGGACGGAGGCGAGGGCTCAGTGACAGAAAGAAAAGGGAGAGAAAAAGGGTTAAACCCCAAATTGTTCCCGAATAAACGTTACCAAAGTACAAAGAGCACCTTGCTGGATTTCTGTGTGCCGCTTCCCTCCTGGTAATGGCAGTGCAATAAAGCATCAAAATAAACAGTAATCAAAACTAAAATGGCTAGAATTGGTCTGTATTCCAGATGAGAAACATCTGCAGGGGTAGATCAGCAGATCTCTTCTCTGTTTCCTGCACAATTAGTCAGACAATGCTGCACTCTTATAGGTAAAATTATTCTCCCAGCCTCTTTATCACCTCATAAATTAAATCGGTATTTTTGGAAAGGAAGGGGGGAAAAAAAATAAATCAATAAATACCTCTAGATAAATAAGAGCAAAAGACTCCCTCAGATGTAGTTTAGATGCCTGCCTGCGAGAACATTTCCTGTGCAGCCCGTCATCATTTTCTCAAATGGATTGGGGGGGGGAAAAGCCAACCCTCATTTGTTTTAAAATTTTAAAATAAGACGATCATTTTTCCGATACTAAAACGAATACAAGAAAACGGCAGGATTAGACCGATCTGTTAACTGACTTGTTACCAGACAAGGACAGTCTTGTTAATTTTGGAACCACTACTGTCAATTATGAAAGCATTGTGTCTGCCGTACACACTGATTAGAAGAGCTGTTTGTTTGAACTAATAAAGCAGTAAATGAGCTGAAATTGTCTTTTCTTTATTTTTAATATGATAAATGGAATAAACTATGAGTTCATCTGTTCCAAGCCTCTTTTCCACAACATGTTATGTCTGAAAAGCCTGAAAAAAAATTTCTTTTCTATTCCAACATCTCAAAGTAACGATTTTCTGCAAAGCATCACCTACAAAACATCAGTCAGGGCTTACAGAGTTTAATCCTCACTCTGCATTTAGTTCACTTTCTGAACTAAACCACACTACCCGGGGAGGAGAAAACAGGCATTCGCCTATAAATCATCACCGGCATCGTAGCCATCGACCTTGCAAACATTCCTCGGCACGTCGGCGCGGCTCAGACATCTGCGATCGTGCCCTTATCAGCCAAGGCTTGGGTTGAGGCACCCTCCCAGGAGCCCGGGAAGGCTGGCCGGGCCCGCCGAGCTGGGGCCGAAGGCTGGCCGGGCTCACCAGCCCCGGGCACAGCTCTGCCAGATGCCAGGAGAGCCAGAACGTTTGGCCTCACGCCCAGCGCGTGGATCTGGGGGGTGTCGGCTGCAGGGCTTCGTTTCAAGCCGCTCTCCCTAGGCAGAGCCCTGAGCCTCCATCGGCAGGAGCAGACCCTTCCTCAGGCAGTCCCACGTTGCCCCTGCAAAGACCAAGCAACCGGCTTCGCAGCAAACTCCATCCGCGGGCGAGGTGCGACGGGAGGGCTCACCCGCTGCCCCCGCCCTGGGATCCCCAGCACACCTCCCTGCAGCACCTCAGCTCCAAACTGCCAGGCTGACCAGTCCCGACTCATTTCTTCCAGACAAACCTGCAGCACAGTAATAGGAGGAAGCCAGAGGACCAGACACGGTGATCTGTTTTAACTGCAAAATTATTTTTCCTCTCCCATTACCACTATTTTTTTTAAAACTTTGTTGATTGAGGGTCTGAGCCTCCCCCCATCAGGATAAACCCTTGGTTGTCTTGAAGAGGGATGCGCACACAAACTGCTATTATTTTAAAAACCTTCCCACCAAATAACAAAAGAAAGCCCACACACAGATCTGTGCAACACCGCAGCAGCCCTTTCCTCTAGCGAGATGCCGCACGACTGTGTTTGTCAGCGGAGTATATCCTGAACCTCCCTTTTTGCCCAGGAGCTGTGATGACAGAGCTCATTAAAACAAACACACGGGCCGGTTTCGGCATCTCCCGGGACCAGTTCAGCTGGAGCTGGGAATGCAGACCTGCTCCCTGCACTGCCTCTGAACGGGAGGTCAGTAAGGCAGCAGATAGTAGGGGTTAAAAAAAAAAAAAAATGTCAGCAGATAATGAACACCTTATTTTAAGCTGTGGTCAAGTCATTTGCTTTTCTGAGGAGGGATTTTTCTTTTTCTTTTTTAATTGTATTTAGTAGTTTTTTTAGGGCAGCCACAGTGAAGTTTCTACATAAAGGAAAAGCAAACAGCTGAAGAGTCCTCCTTGGGCTTTGATCCTCCCTGCAGAGAGCAAACCATGGAGTGTTTGTTAAAATCCTAATCCGATTTAAAAGTGCTTTTGAATGTCTTAGGGGAGGAAGTGCTGGCTCTCGCTGTCCCATCCAGCCCTGGTTTTTAAAGCCGTGTTACTGGTTTTGCACAAGCAGAGTAGCCCCGTCCTGGGCAGCTGTCGTTTCAGCCCCCACCCGGAGATAAAGCTTATTTAAAATGGACAGTTAATACATCTCTTTCTTTAGGTACCTTTTGCTCCCTGAAGAAAGACTCATTTTCCCAGCAGAGGTAAGAGCACACCTTGCGGGGGTACAATGGCAAGAGGGGTCCCTTTGCCGGCCCCCACTAAACCAGCCGGACTCTGCCCGGCTCCCCGAACCCCTTGCTGCATTCCACATCTCTAAAGTCAAGCAGGAAAGGCAATTCCCGTGAGCGTCCTCCCAGGCTGGGACACGCAGCGTTTGCCACCTCCACCTCTTCTCTAACACACCGTCCGACGGCGGTGAAAGGGGTGTCAGCACAGCCCCGCGCCACGGGGCCGACGGCAGTCACTCTCGGGCGGCCCAGGAAGGCCTGACTGCTCGGAAGGGAACCCAATACTTGTGTTGGCAACAAGGCAGAATCAGCCAGTTCCTACTGATCCCTAATTAACGAGTTACTGGAGCTCCGTGCGGCTCCCCAGTAACTAACCCCTCAGCTGTGTAACGCAGGGGAACCCAGTCTAAGCAAGAGCAAGAAGCCTGCTCAGTGCCGGCAGTCGCTAAGAAACACTTGAAAATAACGCAAATTGGATAATTGCTTAACCCGTGGTTATTCCACTGACACACCGGGAAGTCTGAGCCCCACGCGAACACCCCGTGTATGATCACACATCTCGGGTCATGGAACACAAACCCCAACACGAAGGAGAGACCCAGGCAAGCCGCTGCGGCAGAACCACTCAGTGAGTGCACATCCCAGGCTGAGCCCTGGGCCCCGCCTGGGCAGGCCTGGCTTTGCTGCAGCAAGCCCCACTGACTGACAAGGCGACCCTGCCTACAGCCACCCCAACAGCAAGGAGCAGCTCTTACACCAGCGCCGCTAAAAACCGTTCCTGTAACGTGCTTCTGGATGAGTATTTCTCATGTTTTTCTTAACGTATGTTGAACTTAGCACACAAAACTATTTCTACTTTTTTTCCTTTTAAAAATACCGTTTCAAAGGGAATGAGTATCAAAGAACATGCAAAAAACCTGCCATTGCTGACCAGATTTCAGCTGCTACATCCTTCCCTTGTTGATAAAGATGACCTGTTCTTGGGAAAGCACGATGCCACAACCCACCCGCCGTCCCAGCACCTCTGCCAGGGCTCCCCCATTCCCACCCGAATCCTCAG